CTTGTTCAACGGTCTTATCCATTTGGCCACTTGCTGACCGCTTTCTTGATATGCAGTTCGGGGTTTTCTTTTCATTGTCGAGTTGCTCATCTTAAAGCCAATTCAAATTCAAAGCATAAGCGAGCTAGGCCAACAGTTAGTCTTGGGTAGGGCGCTGATATTTAGATGATTCTTACAGTGAAAAAGAAATAGATATAAAAATGCTGGAGCTGGATTTGGGTAATGCTCGGAGAGCATCCTTGGATATCCCTGGATGTCGCCGATGATTGGATCAATGCTTCTTGGAATAATGTGCTTCCTCAATGGGATCAGTAGAAACTATCTTGCTAACGGCAATTCACATTTGGCGAAAAGTTAGAACCTAGACTGTGAATTATGAATTTTAGATTTACTTTCAAAACATATTTGCATTATATAATTTGCATAACTTGCAGTTTCTGCACATCTTTCCTGGTGTAGGCCGGCCCAGGCAGGCGATGCGTAGTTAAACATCGGCCTGATAATAGCGATGTAGATATGTCTCTTCTTGTGTAAGTTTAGACTGGAGTACTTACCTATTAATTATCTGAATCATAATACCTATAGCTTTGTTATCAAATTTGAGATGTAAGGATGATTCAGGTAAGTTTACTCTTAAAAGTAATACCCAAGTACTTTGCTTTGTTTGCAGTGGGGATATCACTGTTGAATAATTTCAAAGTTACGCTTAGTGGAGTCCTGGCGAATTTTCGGCGGATGATAAGTTACGCTTAGTGGAGTCCTGGCGAATTTTCGGCGAATGATAAGTTACGCTTAGTGGAGTCCTGGCGAATTTTCGGCGAATGATAAGAAGTTTCGATTTTTGGACGTTAATGGCAATGCGCCATTTGGTACACCAGTTCTCAATTTAAGGCATAAGATCTTGGAGTTTTTTAACGGCAAGTTCAGCTCTCATGGATTTAACTGCTAGCGCGGTATCGTCCACGTAGCAACCAAGAAAATGATTATGACTAATTTGTACCCTAGGAAAATTCGCAACGTAGTATATATAGATAGGTGGGCCCGAAATCGATCCCTAGGGGACCCCAGCTGTAATCCTTTTGTTTTCTGAAACATCTTTTCCGAAGTTAACGAAAAAAATTTCTTTCTGTGACGAATAAGCTTATTAGGAAGATGAGCTCTCTACTGAAATTGAAAGTAATCAATTTACAGATAAGCTCCTCATGCCAGACGCTTTCGAAAGCTTTCGCCACGTTTAGCATGAGTAAGGCAACACAAGACTTGTTATGAACGGTATCTCCAATAAACTCTGTCAGCCTAACCAGCTGTTTAATAGTTAACAGTTCACGTCTGAACCCAAATTGTTCAGACATGAACTGTCGCACCAGTGGTGCGATTAGCCGCTTGAGCTATTCGCACGAACATTAACCACGCATGCGCATTGAATTGTCGGATCCGTCATTTGAACCCAATCGAAAAGAACGGATTCTACGTACGCGAACTGCCTATTAAATGTTGTAGTGAATCTTTTTTTTTTTTTTTTTTTTATTTTTTTTTATAAAAAGGTTTTCTTTATGATTTACAAGGGCACCTTGGTGTAGTTCATCATTTCTTAAACATTGGTGACTTTCAAAAGATTAGAAAGGAAAATGGTTTCATTTTCTTATATACTCGTATATAAAAAGAAGGAACCTTTTTTTCCTTTTATTAAAGTATATATAAAAAAAGGGCAGATTTTTATGTTCAAAATGTTTATGGTTTTCCTGAACGACTGGAATAGTTTAAATGACTGATTTTTTTTGGGGGGGGGACAAAATCTTGTTTACATTTTTTGTACTTCTGAGAATACGTTTACTTCAAAAATGTGTTTTGCACAATCAAGACTTTAATTCAGTCCTCTTTGAAGATTGTATGAGAAAAGATAATAAAAATTAGGCAGAGGATTTCTGTGTAGAAAATTGAGACATGAAATAAGTTAAAAGCGATTAAATCAACTATTAAATTAAAGTGAAACAAATAATGGGATGTAATTTAAAAGACAGAAATAATTTAATGTAAGAGATTTAGATTTAAAATTTTGCACACACAAATGATTTATCAGATTTTATAAGGTTTAATTTCATAAATAACTTTTATTTTGAAATATATGTGGATACTGGAAAAGTTATGAATATCTAAGGATATTGTAATGTTCAATAAGTTTTCTCATTGAATAATAAATTCTGACAGTCCTATGCTATAAGACAAGGGTCTAAGTTTGCATAAAAATTCCTCAGTGAAATAAAAGAATTTAAGTAATTTCTGTAGCCTTTTTGTCAAGACATTAAAGATTTTTCAACTAATTACACGCCCTCACTTACAATTAGAACCATCATTAAATCCCTATTTTATCTAATCATTTCCTGAACATTTTCATGTATATAGATTGACCTCGTCTTTGTAACTGATAATTATTACTTGCAATTTATTCTCCTGCTGGTGAACTATTAACAACCGTTTCTATTGCTGAGTTAGGGTTAACAACCTTCGCTCTCGCTATCGCCTGTGTTAGGGAAATCTGCGTAAAACGCTGGTACATGAGCTAATTGTGCGCATGCGCGAACGTAGGTGGTGTGAATAGCGTCTTAGCTATTCGCACCGTCGGTGCGATTAGCCACATCGCAATTTATCCGGGTAAGGAGTCATTCTATTGAGTATAACACGTTCGTAGATTTGCAAAGTTCGGGCAAAAGTCTTATCGGACAATAGCCATTCGGCTTCATAATACTTTTGCCTGGCTTCAGAATTGAAGTCACCTTTGCCTGCTTCTAGCATTTGGGAAAATAGGAATTTTCTAGACAAACATTAAGAATTCTGGTGAATTTGCAAATAATATTGATCGGAAGGTGCTTAATGGCAATATTCGTTATTTCATCATGCTCAGGGGAGTTACGAATTTTGAGACGTTTAATTATTTCTGTTATCTTTCTCGGATATGTAAAGAACGATTTGCGAAGGAATAGTCGCAAGTATCATTTTTCGGAATAAATTGATTTTCCATGTGCTCTGCTAAGACGCATCCCTTGTCCTTATTTGTAACAACAACACTGTGCTCTGTATAAATGGGCCTATTAGTGGTGGGATTCTGTTTGAGTTTACGCGCTACAACCCATAAGGAACTATTCGGTTCGTGGAAACTAAGAATCTTCTCTTTCCAGGTATTTTTTCTATGCTGTAAAATATCTTTATATGTCTATTGAACTTATTTAATGTTTTGTTGAGTTCCGCGTCCCAAATACAATTCTACGTTTTGCGTATCCTATTTCTCTCTTCTATTTCGTCTCTAATAAAATGTGGGAGAAGTTCTGCGTATTTTTCTACAAGAATCTTGCTAGTCGATTTATTGTAGGCCTCTTTAATTTGGTACGTAATAGCATTTTTAGTGTCCCTAGGAGTTTTGAGGCGATTGTTATCAAGATTATTCTGCGCTAAAAGTGAACTGAAAAAACTCCAATCAGTATTATTCTTAAATTCTGGGTCTTTGCTTTTAGTAGTTCCGAGTGTGACAACCAAAGGAACATGAGCAAAAGTTAAATCCTGAATTACTTCCAGACACACAGGAATCGAAGTTGTGGAATAATTATTTCCAAGATGTCACCAAGTGGATTGTTGCTAGGCAAGTAGGTATACTCAGTGGGCGCGAAGAAGTACATTGGGTGATTAACTATGAAATTTAGTAGTTTTTTTCTGTTTTTATAGTTTTTCTACAGTGCCATTTATTACTTTTACTATTTACGTCTCCAGCTAAACTAACCGGCTTATCAGCGGGTAGAAACCTTGCTAGGGTAGATTCTTCCAATAGTTCATTTGGAGCGTTATACATACATGAAAAGTACATAATGCCATACGATGGGAATAAAACTAAGTAACTATCTCATATCCGCTGTCTCTTTCTTAATTTATGTGACATGATTGAAAGGTATTTTTAACGAAAATCGCAACTTCCCCACCACGGTGACTTAGTAATTCGTATCAGTAACATCTGAAATTAGAAATTTTCATACTACTGCTCGGTGTAGCATGCGTTTCTGTAATAAGTACAATGTCTATCTCATAAGTGTAGAGAAAATTTTGTAGCTCCTGAAGCTTACTTTGAATGCTACATGCGTTCCAAACAGTGAACTTGATGGGAGCTCTAATTGGTGCTTTTTTTTCCATTATTAGTATTGTTAGGGATTTTGTTCTCTTGACTGCTAACCAGCAGTTTTGATTACAGTGACCAGTTCAGCAAAATCGACGAAAACTTTCTTAGCCTCATTTAGGGCGTATGAGTAAATGTCGGCTGAAAGTGTCTGAGCATAACTCTTATTTTCAATGATTCTATTAGAGAAAATTTTGCTTGATTAGACTTCGTTTTTGGGAATTTCTCACAACCCCTGAAACTGGAAGTATGTGATTCACTGCAGTTGGTATAACAGGGGGGGGATAGTCTTTATTGTTTCCATCATGGCAATCTTTAAAATCTCTTTTAATCTCTTTGCCTCACTTAACGCACTTAGGGCTACAATTGCAACCGCGTGTGTTTGAATCCCTGGCACCTGAAACATTGCAGATATCCTTGCCTGCCTTTGTATTCTTTTAGCAGTGGTAATAGGCCAATGGCTGTCTTCCACAACTATATAATGTAAAATTGTATTATATTCTATTTGTTATACTTATATATCTATATATTATTTGTTTTTATATCTCACTTATGCAGTGTTGCTCCTCATATTTTGAATTACCTAATTATTTTTACATCTCTGTAAATTCAGTCAGCTACAATCTATTTTTTAGTCTTCTCTTGTAGACTGTAAACCGTTCTACATGGGGTAGGGTCTTCGGCCCAGGTACCAAAGAATTTGTAGGGAGATCAAATTCTTCCCTACATATTCTTTGCAGGTTCCTAGGTGCAACTCCATTCCTAGAATCGGACACCAATGGAAAAGATGTCGGACGTGTAGACATTGCTTGTCCGACTAGAAAATTCGGGAATTTCGATGAACGTGCGATGAAATTACCAGATGGTTTTCTAAGCGCTCAGTTCTAATAATCTTAAGGCAGAAAAAACACCAGGAATAAAAATTTTTCTTCGAAAAATGCTTGAGCTGTCAGATGTGATTATTTGGAATTGATTCGTTTAATACTTTTGCAAACGATGGATCTAAATGAAATACTAGTCGTAACCGTAAATTGTATATATTTTGCCTGTTGTTCGCAGAATTCTTGAAACGTGTTTATATTGTATATTTCCTGTTTCTAAATTTCTGCAGTGAACAGAAGATTTGTAATTGGAGAATTTTTGTAAATAGAAGTCATGTCTGAAGATTCTAGTGATTGGGACACTGTAACATATTTGCGCAAGAAACCACCTAAAGCAAGTCAACTTCGATCGCAGCAGGTTTGTTTTAAAATTAAAAACAGTTTCTTTCTGTTGGGAAGTAGAAAATTTGTTAGTTAATTTTACTGCACTGAGTGTCATGTGAATTTCAGAATTCCCCCCTTTTTTTTCCCCTTGAATAATACGTACTGAATCTAGGAATTACTGAGTCTAGGCCTAAACGATCGTGCGGTTAAGAAACAATAAATACATTATCATTTCATGAAAAGAAAAAAAAAAAAGGGGGGGGGGAAGAACAAAAGTGCAGTGAATTTGTTAAATATTAGCCGTTTTTCTAATAATGTGTAACTTAATAATTTGAATTTATAAGTCGAGTTGTTCATTAATTACGATATCACTGGAGTACTAAAGCGTAAAATATTTCCAGTTTATACTAAAATTCGTAGCAAAAATTTTTTCTTATTCCTTTTTTTTTTTTGAAAATATTTTAATGAAAGCTACAAAAACTTCGAAAATCTTTTATTCTAATTGTATTCATTAAGGAAATAAGTGTCATCATTATTAAATGCCATTTGTAAAATATATGGACTTGGTGAAAATCTATTCTAATTGAATTCAATTTATTAAGGAAGTAAGTGTCATTATTATTAAATGCCATTTGTAGAAATGTATGAACTTTATCAGTATATCTAAAGAAATTTAATCAAACGAACAGAATCAGTGTGTTGATAAAATTTGTTTGCTGTAACATACTCGCATGAAGTTTGATCACCTATGTTTTATATGTTCATTAGCATATATATAGATGTAGATCATGCATTTGGTATTCTTTAAAAATTGTGCTTGGAAATTTCAACATTATTCTAAACATTTTTTGTTTTAATTAGAAAAAGAATGTAGAAAACCTGTTAGCATTATTTTAGCCAGAATTTCATTAAAATAAATTTTGTATCTTACAATTTGGTACTAAAATACCCTGATGAAAATAAAATCGAATATTCAATGTCTTTGGACTAATTCTTCAGATTTTATTAAATTTATTTATTTATTTTTTTTATTATTATCTAATGGTGCTATAAGTAAACAAGTGTAAATGTAAAAAAAGTTTTCGTTAATCTTCGGATTATGGTAACTTGGCGATTTTTTGGCGACCAACCCTGCTACAGCAACCTGCTAGTTCTTTTTGGACGCCATTTTGTTTTCACGAAGTAAAAGCACGTTTTTTTTTTTTTTTTTTCTCAACATTTTTTTCCAACTATCTGCTAGCCGAATTACGCTTATGCTAGAACTTTTATGGAACAAAAGTGCTTATTCATGACAAAGATTAGGTGCGAAATTGGGAGAAAGTGCAGAATCGCCCACTGCTTGCCGCGTTTTTAAGAATTGCACATACACGGTATCCATGTACATGTCCGTCGACCTATTTTCACTTAAAAAAAATCCCAGAATTGCACAAGAATGACATTGCGCACGCTCTTGTCTTTATCCATGTACACTGCTAAAGTCCTAGCTAGTAACCTTTATCACCTTACCAAAATGTCGCCAAACTACCTGTTACCATATTCCAAAGATTAGTCAAAGTTTTAACTTTGCTTTAAATATAGGATGAACTGTATCAAAATATCTCAAAGAAATGAATTTTTGTAGAATATTTGAAGTTGTGATGATAATTTATGGATTCTTGTATGAATTATGGGAACTACTCTGATATGCGCCCTCAAGTCGCCAAATTTCTTGCCAAATATTTTTGGCGAGAAACTTCACGCTGCCATATTACTATCTAAATTTTTTGTCTACATTTTGAACTTTTAGCCTAAAATGTCTCCAAAAACGTGGTTTTCGCACATGCAAAAACTACGTTTTGAACACACAATTTAGCTAAAAATCCGAAACAAAAACAAAAAATTTAGATAGCAAAAACGTAAAGTTTCTGACCAAAAATATTTGACAAGAATCCATGTACAGTAAGACCCCGCTTAATGCTGTTTCGTTTAGCACTGTTTCGGTTTAGCGCTGTTTCGGTTTAGCGCTCTTTTATTTCAACCCGGGGATTCCACGAAATCGCTCGCAGCATACGGGGATTCCCCAAAATATTATGCAGCGATAGGTTTCAAAATACATATCCGAAAGAGTGTACTTGTATTTCTTGTTTGGTGCGGTATTGTACAGACATATTTTGAAGGGGTAAATGTGGAAGATGTCGAAGAAATAATTCAAGAAGCAGCGGCTAGACTTTCTAATGATGAGCTCAAGGAATTAAACTGAACAAGAAGAAAACAAAAAATGTTGACAGCAGTGATTCAGAAGAAGAGCAAAAAGAACTTTTGATGGCGTTTGTAAAAAGGAGTTTGTCTACCATAACTGAAATAATGGATCAATTCATTGAAAATGATCCGAATTTTGACAGGAGCTCAAAAGTAAGGCATGGTGTTAGAGATGCTCTATCCGTTTATGAAGAACTTTTAAGAGAACAACGCAAAAAAAAAGAGAAAAGGCAAACAAACATTAGATGCTTTTGTCACAAAAAGGCAGAACACTGAAAACGCGGAAGGCTAACTAAATATGACTAACTTAGAATTTTTATTTGTTTTTTTTAAGAATATTCATTTTGTTTATATTTTGTTTTTATTTTTTGCAAGAAATAATAATGTGGTATTAATTTGGGCTTTAAGAAATAAATGTTTGGTTTTATTTTTATTAAAAAACATACTTTTTAAATTAAATACCTAACCAATTTCCTAGCCATCTTCCCCTAACCCCAATATTTACATGTAAAGATAGCCTCGTTTAGCGCTGTTTTGCATTACGCTCTACTTTGATGGAACGTATCCCCCGCGTTAAGCGGGTTCTTACTGTACACAGCGACATGTTTTAACTTAAAAAAACATTACGAATGGCATAATGTAGGCAACGAACGAATCTGCAAACTACGCACACCTCGCTTTAATAACATAACATAACAACAATAAATTTCAAAGAATACCATGTACACAGCATCCTGTTTAAACTTAAAAAAAATTCTACGAATTGCACAATTTAGGCAAGGAAGGAATCTACGATCTACGCACTCATCGCTTTAATAAAATAACATAACAACAATAAATTTCAAATAATAGCATGTACACAGCGTTCTGTTTCAACTTTAAAAAACATCTACGAATTGCACAGTCTAGACACTAAACAACTAAATAAACTAAAATAAATTTCAAACAATTTAAAAAAACAACAATAACGACAGAAATTCATACTAAAGAACCAATGAACATGACATTCTACAAATAAGAACAAGGATAAAATAAAATGCACTTACCATGAATTAATGCTTTTTCGAGCAGCAGAAATACCAATTTCATACCGCCTTTAACGTGCGCCACGTAATCACTATCGTATTTACATGACAGTTAGACACACTATCCAGAAAATTCATACTATGGTTCACAAACAAAAAAAATCACAAATCCCTACTTCTGTCATGCATAGCCATTAAAAATAATCTCCCAGACCTTCTTTCCACACCTTCCAAATACCCGCTACCCCTCAACAGGAGGGCCACAATAATATTTCCTTTTGCCGAACTTCAACTCAACACCTTCTACCATTTTATCTTTCCCTTCCCATCTTCTCAGACACAGAGGCGAACCAACGAGCTCCAGCGAAAGATTTCTCAACGTCAATAGGGTTGCCATAGAACACGCAATCGCGCCAAAAACCAGCGCAGAACACATATCGCCACATTTGGTGAAATTAGGGCGTATATTAGAGTTGTACCGAATTATGATGTTTAATAGCAATATACAATTTGTCTAGTTTTTTAAATGGGAAAAGTGCAGAATCGCCCACTGCTTGGAACGTTTTAAGAATTACACATACTTGGTATCCATGTACACATTGACCTATTTTCACTTAAAAAAAATCCCAGAATTGCACAAAAATGGCATTGCACACTGCTTTGTCTTTATCCATGTACACATTGACCTATTTTCACTTAAAAGGTCAAAGAAAATTGACAAAAATCCAATTCTTCTTACTCTTGTAAAAAGTGCCAAACACCAATCAAATAAGTGGGCGATTCTGCACTTTAGCCTTTTAAACTTCATTGTCACATGTTCTTTTATCACATTTTTATGATTTATAGTGCAATTTTTATGATTAAGAAGTATTTTATTACTCTGGAAATTTATAAGGAAATGAAAATTTTTTATTTAGGCAATTAATGCAGCTCAGCGACAAGGTTTGGCTATTGAAACTACAAAAAAATGTGAGTACTTTGTGCTATTTAAATTGCTTTAAAAGTACATCATTAAAAGAAGGATTTTTTTTTTTTTCCCCTGTAATTATGTTTGAAAAGAAGTAGGTTTTATTAAAGCTTGATTTAATAAGAATATAATGCTAATATAACTGTGGCAGTTTCTTTTTAAAGGGGCTGCCTATTTATGGTACCCCCTGTTTTTGCTAGACGACTGACAGTTGTGGCCCTGTGCAGCCTTCTACAGTTTTTTGCAACAAACATATTTTGCTGCCTTTTTCTATAGCTTTTATCAAGGTTCACCCCTGACTGGTATTAGAGTGCTCTTTTGGAATGCTGGTGGTCTTACTTCTAATAAGTTTACTGAACTAAAATTTACTGTTTTTAATCATATTATTGACTTAATGAACATTGTTCATTGTTGAGAGTGGTGCCCTTCTACTGAAAATTTAAACTTGGTAAAAGTATATTTACGTGTATCCCTTGGCGAAAATGGGCGGTACATGGATACTGAGTTTGTGCAATTCTATGACTAGGCATTGCACACTCCCTTGACTTTATTCATGTACATGTTGACATATTTTCACTTAAACATCAGAGAATTGCACAAACTTGGCATTGTGCATACTCTTGACTTTGTCCATGTGCACATTGATATATTTTCGCTTAAAAAGTCAAAGGAGTATCGAACTTTTGGTAAAACTATACAGTCAAAAGTCGTTAATTCGGACACCCATAATTCGGAATGATCTATAATCCGGACCTGAAAACTAAAAACTTTCTGCGCATGCGCCGCGTTGACACATGCGCATAGGCGTTTACGCGTGCGCGTAAGACCTTTTACGACTGCGCATATGAGTGTGCGCAAGTGCAGAATACGTTTTCGCGTGCGCGTTTTATGTATAATGGACGTATAAGCTAAAATTATCTAATTATCTATTTCAGTTAATGTTGATGACTGCGTTGTTCCTTAATTTTGAATTGGATCCGGCTTATTTTTTTTGCAGACTGTAATAATAGCAATTTTATAAAAGTAAGCTTAAAACTTTCGATTATATCAAATAGAAGTTCCGATATTATTTGTTAATACGTAAAGGATCTAAAGCGAAAGTATGTTTTGAAATCCGAAATCTGTTTATCAATTTCACGCTGGCGGGGGGGGGGCCGCAGCGGGCACGTAATGAATTGAAGTTCATCTGTCAGCACTATCCTTATCTTCAGGGCAGATGTTTTTTATTTATTTGGCTTATAATTCCTTACCAAATTAGTATTTCATCTCGATGTGCTCCATCTTTGATATGATTTTAAAAACAAGTTCCTCGTCATTTAATTCGCTTCCGATAGCGAAGAAGAAAGTGACAGAGGTTAGTGAAAACGAAAAAATTTCGATTGACAAATTAGTCGGTGTTCTCGACACAGCAATTATAGGACTTGAACAGCGGAACTTTGTAACTAAACAAGAAATCATGTCTGTTTCATAGAATTAAAGAGAAAGTATTATCACATGAAACGAAGCAACTTACATTGAAAGAAATGTTTAATAAAGTAAACAAATAAATATTAAGCTTTTTCTTTTTGTAAATTTTGATACCCTTTAGATCATAATTGTTCTTTATTTCATAAATTACGATTTCATATTTTTAATTTTAGAATTTCTGCATGCCATCTTACGAGATTTAAACTGATGATCTATAATCCGGAAAAATCGATAATCCGGAATCGCCGAAGTCCCGACGAGTCCGGATTAACGACTTTTGACTGTATTTACGGAACATTAAACTACTCAGGTTACCATAAATGAAACAACAACTTTGCGATAATACAAGGGGTACCCTTCAGTCTACTCTAACCCATAAACTTTTACCATATAAATGTATATCAGACTTTTTGCTAGCAACATGCATGTCAGGTTTCTACTGTTAGAGATACAATGGGAACACTCAGATAACCGGCACTTGGCGCAATTTTTCCGCCATCTTAAATCGGCAAAAATCGCCAAATCCTCGGAAGGATTTTTTTGACGCCAAGAGGGAAATGACGTGAAAAGACGCTTTACAAAATTTCCCTCTTGAACCCGATATAGGGGAGAAACCCTTGCTAGGCGAAAATCGCCTGAGGCTGAATACAGTAACGCGTTTGCATTAAAAAAAGGTAAACAATGCACATAGAACTAATTTAGTTATTGATGTGGTTAAGTTAATCTTCATACTTTTTTCACCTTAGTATTTTAGATTATAATATATATAACTCCAACATTATTACTGTTTATACTTCTCTTTTTAATTCTGACCATTAATTTTTACAATTATCCACAATAATAGTTAATATGTTTAAAAATATGGTCTTCATGTAAATGCTGTAAAAATCATGCAAATCCCAAACTTGTTGGCAGTGGTGATAAAGGCAAAGCATGTTTTGCTTCCCTTAAAATAAAGCTAAGATTAAACTAAATAAAATCCTTGCTTTATTCCGTAAATAAAATAAAAGAGCTAACACTTTAGCCTGTACATTTAAAATCATTTAGTGAAAGCAAAGTAGCATTATGCTAACTCATAATAACACAAGAGAACAAGAACACAAAAACTTTTCGCAATACCGGCGTGCGTACATATATATTATATTCGGCCAACCCGCCGATCTTGACGTCATCGGCCAATCAGCGGCAACCACGTTAGCTTACCGCCGATTGACCTCCGATCAAATTTGCATAAGTGGAAAACTAAAGCCAACAAACGGCCCTCTTTTCCTCATGCAAAGACAGAAAAACAAAACTTACATAGAATTCACAGAAGTTCATAGTTCAATTCTATTTATATGAAAACATACTTATTGTCTTTAAACACTGAAAACATCTAAACAAAACTTCCTTAAATTAACAGCAGTCACTGCTTTTGTAAATAAGTCCGGCAGTATTTAATTTACTGGTGATAAATTACAAGGTCAAACACTCCATCATTTACTAGTCTTCTAATAAAGTGATATTTTATGTCTATGTGCTTAGTTCGGCGATTTTCTATTGGCGATCTAGAAAAATCAATGGCAGACTTGTTATCACAAAATAGTTTACACTCTCTTAAATTAAACTTTAAAATTTCATCTTGTAAGACATTTTTCATCCACATTAATTCCTTCGCTGCTTCAGATAAAGGCGATATATACTCTGCTTCCATGGTTGATAAACTTACACATTTTTGTTTAACAATTTTCCTGATTACCGGTGCTTCATCTAAATATAATATAAATCCTCCCATGGACACGCGATTATCCCTGTTACTTTCATAATCAGCATCTGAATAACATATAAATTTAGATGTTTAATCTTCGATAAGTGTAACTTATATAATTTAGTACTATTGAGATAACCAAGCAATATCAACAATTCTTCCCAATGCCTAATTCCAGGATTCTCCTGAAATTGTGATAAGATATTTCACTGCATATGTAATATCAGGCCTTGTCCTGTTAGCTACAAAAAACTAAACATCCTAACAGAGATTTCTAAAGGGTAATGTATGCATTTCCGCAATTCTGCACTTGTAGATGGACAATCTAATTTTGTAAGAATAGTGCCCTTAGCTATGGGAAGTGAAGTTATTGGTATCTGGAAATGTTTAAATTTTTCAAAAATTTCTTCGATATATTTTTGCTGATGTATAAAAAACCCATTCTCATTCTCTAAGAATTCAATTCCAAGTAACGTTTTAGTTTTGCCTAATACTTAAGATCAAAAAACTTACTCAGCTGTGAAATTACTTTATCTATACTATATTGATCTTTACTAAAAATCACAATATCATCTACATATAAAACATAGAATTACATTGAACCCTTATAAACACAATTACACCATTGTATTTTCTTAAAATGTAGATTTTCTAAAGTACTTTCAAATTCACAAAACCATTCACGGCCGCTTTGATGTAGACCGTAAATGGCCTTGTGTAATAAACACACTTTATTTTTCTCTTCGATAAATCCCTCTGGTTGGGTCATATATATTTTCTCATTTAGGTTTGCATATAAATATGCATTCTTTACATCTAACTGACAATTAGTCCATCCATATAAACATACCAGTATAGTGAAAAATATTCTTATGATTGAAAAATTTACTACAGGACTGTAAACGTCATCAAAATCTTCACCTCTTTTCTGCCTGAATCCCTGTGCTACTAAGCGTGCTTTGTATCTTACCACTTGATTTTTTCATTTCTTTTTAGCGTATAGACCCATTTGTTTCCTATTATAGTTTTATTTTCTGGCTTTTTCGACTAATTCCCAAACCTTTCTTTTCTTTATTGTGTCGATTTTTCTTCTTTCATTGCCTTATCCCATTCTTCGGCATTTACTGATTTTCGTGCTTCTTTAAAATTTTGTGGGATAACTATTTCTACGGAATTTGCCTCTTCAGACAGAAGCTAGTCTCCTGTTCTACGAAATTAACTTTCCCCGAGTATTCGTTTTTTTCCACTAAAATCGAACTTATCTTTTTCATATTTAATATTTCTTGCCTCACAATACTTTTCAATATCATTATAGGATCTAAAACGGGTGTCTGTTCCCTCTACATAATATAATATATGTCTGTACGTGTTCCATCTGGCCTTTTTAACTGCTTTTCTTTGCAGCCGTTTAAGTCTGATACTTCTTTCGAGTAGATTTGTCATCTGAACTTTATTTCTTCTCTAGAAATTTCTCGAGCGGTAAAGTTGAACCTTCTCTCGAATAAATTTCTTTCTTCATCTGATAGCTAGCTTGCTCAGATTCCTCTAGTCTTTAAATTTAGGTTTTGATTTCTGTTCCAGGATGCCATTTGCTGCATACAGTTTTTCATCGAACTTCACATTACAGGTTTCTATTAATTTGCGTTCTTCTGGCAGCCATATCCTATAACCCCTAGTTTCCTTCGCATATCCTACCATGATTCCTTCTTTGCACCTCATTTCTAATTTATTTCCTAATCTGTTTTGGCACGCCAACATAGGGCTTTACAACCAAATATTTTAAAATAA